TTTTTGTACCACCTGTCATACTTCCTGAAAACGTTCTCAAACCTGTTGAAAGTTCAACTTAAGTAGTTAATTTTGCGGACACATATTAATGGAGATAAATTGCAAGCAGAATGTTGTTAAAGTACCTATGTTTAGGCTGGCAGGACTGAACTTTATTTCACTTGGAAACCCAACAAGGGTATAAATCCCACCAATTTTCAAGAGTTCCAAGTAGGGATCAAAGGGGTGATCACCAGATGCTGTGTCAACTATGAAGTCCAGTGATTTGGTTAGGGCCTGCATTCAGGAAAATTGTGTCCAGAAAGGTCAAAGACTTCCAGACATTAAAGATCAGAGGAAAAATGAGCTCTCTAGCATGGTAAAAAAATGCTTACCTTCATATGCTCTTGGTCAGATGAGATAACAAAGTTGTCTGCACCGAGCAGATTCAGGGCTTCCTCTTTCTTAGATATGCTCGTGCTAAAAATGGTTACTTTTAATCCGAAAGCCTTACCAAACTTCACTGCCATGTGACCAAGACCACCAAGCCCGATAACACCTAGAGATTTGCCAGGTATGTTCATCTTATGGCGTATCATTGGTGAATAAACAGTAATTCCAGCACAAAGCAATGGAGCTGCCAAAGCCAGAGGATATTCATTGGGTATTTTGAAGCAGAATCTGTTAATTCAACACCAAACATGATATCTTATAGACACAAAACAATAAACACAAATACAGAACCTCAGAAACAGGCAATTGCGGGGTAATAAACACAAAGACAGTAACAATAACAGAATCAACATGAACAAAAATATGGATATCATTGAAACTGAAAAATTGTTTACCTTTCATGGACAACTATGTAACTGGAATATCCACCTTTTGTGATGGTACCATCTACATCAACACCATTGAAGGTCGAGATCCTCCCTTTGGAGCAACAATTTTCAAGATCATCATTACAATACTCACAATCTCTGCAGGAGTTGACCATAGTTCCCACTCCAACATGATCACCAACTCTGAAGCCACGAACGTTGGAACCAACCTCTTTAACTATTCCAACAATTTCATGTCTGGTATGGAAGGGATAAATAATTATAGATATATGTCTTCTCAATAAATTTTTTACAAAATTGAAATGAACAAGTAGGCATATCATACCCAGGGACCAAAGGATATCTCGAGTCTCCAAATCCATTTCTAGTCCAAAAAACATCAGCATAACAAACTCCACAGTGTGTAATTTTTAGGGAAACATCATCAACTCCAACTGCCCTGTAGAAAGTAATTCATTAAGTGACAAAACATCAAAGTAATTTACTTAATGAAGAACAAAGCCACGCAGAACCTAGCACTAAATTTGCCGTTTGATATTAATCCGTCTACTGGCAGTCCCAGATAAAACAATGCATAAAACTCAGAGCAGTTCTATAAAAACAGTTCCCTTGTTTTTCTCCCTCCCTTTTAACAAACACCTTAGTTCAAAAATAAAATTTATCAAACACACCTGCGGCTAAATTTGTAGGGAGAGAGAACTCCAGAAGGATCTCGGGCCGCCCAGGCAAGGCAATTCTCAGTAACCCCATCAGAAGCCATGGTTAACTAATATACAATTTGAATATTCAGAGTCAGTTTGCTCAACATGAATCGAAATCAACAAAATATACATGTATATCTATATAGAGAGAAGAGAGTGCTGACTAGAAATCAAAAGCACCAAAGGTTGAGTAGTAGCAGTGATATTTCTCCTACTCCCTCCATTTTTGTTTCTCGGACTCCCATTTTATATTATGAGACTGAAAATTGAATATTATTTAATTGACCATTCAAATTATCTAATGTGGGGCATTTAAAGGTGTAAGTGAGGTATGGGGTGACGCACACACAGAACCATACATTTCCCCTTTTCTTTCCCTCTTTTCAGCAGCCAATACTATTATCAAATTGAAAATGATATGGTTATATTCTTATATAATATTATAAATTTTAATTTTATGTAATATTATAATTATAATACTATTGTTATTAACTTGCTAATGCAGAATGTTACCACATTACATTGATTAGATAACCTCTCCCTTCCTGGTTTTGGAATTTTTTCTAAGGGTAATTAGTCTCAGTTAATTAATTACAAAAATGATATAGTTAATTAGTTATGAACAAATATAGTACATTGTTATATAATTAAATTTTTTTTATTTAAGAATCCATATATAATATTATATATAACTATTTATCTAATAACACATCATACTTATTTAGTGTTATATTATAATTATAAACTTATAATCTTATGATTAGAATTAATAATACTGTAGCGACATTCAAAAGTCAAGGGGGTAAAGTAAAACAAAATTGTTGTTTTTGTAGCTGTGTTGAATTGATCTTTCTTTATACCGTATCTCTCTTGATATACATAAGAGATGACCTTTGAATTACAAGAATTTGATTTTTATTTTTCTGATCTTATGTCAAAAATAGTATTGCCCATGTAAATGACATGACAACCCAACACACACCTGTTAACAGAAAATTTTTTTTTCTTATGTTTTTAACCAGAAGAATTTGTGAGGAAAAGCAAATTTATTTTTTCAGATTAAGTGCTCTGTAATCAATCTGAGTCTGAGGTCCAAATACAACGAAGTCCAGGTTATGGAAATGATGAAGAAGAACCTGAAAGGATGCTGTCCTTTCACTTATTCCTTTCTGATTATTCTTTGAGTAAGAATAACAAGTGCTTGCCTGGAATTTCTTACATCTTCATTGTTACTATCAGGGAGGGAATCCATAGCTGCTGCAGCAAGACTGCTATGCTTCTCTGCTAGCTTCCTGGTTCTTTCTATTCCTCGACTCTTCCAGAGGTATTCCAGGGCCTGTATTGTAAGGACAAGCTTAAATAAATTATGACAAGATAAGAACGGTGATAATAATAACTAGAAAAACTGAAACAAGGACTACAAATGTCCTGATGAGGTCCTATAACAAAAGTCAATGCAAAGTTTCCCAACAAATCTACAAACTGCATTATCTTTCCTCTGATTGCTATATGTACATAACCAGAAACACCTCATAATTTAGTTCATACAAACTTACAGTATCAATATTGGCAGGATTGTCAAAGCCTTGGTCAATGACTGCACGCAACTGAGGGAACTCTTCTAGTGCAAATAATATAGGAGCGGTTATTATCCCCTGACAAACAAAGAAACATAAGCAAATGACATCATAGCTAAGCCACCACTCCTGATGTTTGATAAGATTATAGAATATGCTGACATAAACATGTTTCCAGTGTACAACCCTGTATCAACTCTAGAAACTGAGATATCAAAGGATAGAGGGATTACATGAGGTGTGTTAGATAAGAAACCCTTTTCAAGGGAACATGGAGTTCCTGTGAAATCAAGAATATCGTCCATCAATTGATATGCCAAACCCTGGAAGCAAAAAAACAAAAAATATATATATATATATATATAAATAAAAATAAAAAAAGAAAAAGAAAAAGAAAGGTGACTAGAAGACATACAATAGAGAACATAGAAAAGATGTTTGTTTATCCAATAGTGAAGTGGCTTGTTAAGTCAGCTTTCAAATGGGATAATGATTGTTACTATTTAAAGTCCGCTAAACAAGATAAAATTAGTCTGTGGTGTGGAATGTACAAACCAGGTTTTTTCCATATTCATAAGCCAAATTTGCAACTCCTGCTGTTTGTCCAGATAGAAGGGCCATTGTCTTGCAGCTGTTTGATAACAATGATGCACTCTTGTAGTACGTCTTCTGCATATAATACTCCATACTGCAATAATTGATTATTAATATATATATATATATATATATGAGATGTAAGTAGTAGAAACATGAGCTGTTAGGAAGAAAATGTAGAAAATCGGAACCAGTATGCCATGGACATCCTGCATGTGTAGATAAAGATAAGATGATGCAAGTTATGTGCTAAAAGACACCACTAGCCAACTCTATAGTTGCATGCTTTAATCAACACATGATTCTAACAATCACCTAAGGACCCTAGAAATGTCAGTCTTCTGCTGTTCTATCCTGATGGCAAATGCTCGAAATAAATAAATCATTTACAGTCAAAACAGCAGAACAGCATACCTACAATGTTGCTCGACGGTGGCAGTCATTTGCATGGTTTCACCTGTTACAAGATTCTCAACAGCTGTTCCTAGCAACAATAAAGCCTACGGGGGCACAGAAAGAAGGTGCAGCATGAGTTCAAACATTATGAATAAATGTGTAGATGCAGTTTATCATAGAAACCTAGAGTGACAGATGACAATGACTTATAAAGACAGCCTACAAGGTTTACTTGGAATCTTCTAATGTGTCTCCAGCACAATATGCATTACATAAATATTGCCCAAAAAAGCAATGCTGGAGGATCAGCTTTTACATCAGAAACTATCTAGCCTAGGAAGCATAACAAACAGTATAATGATTCAAATAGAAGCATTATCTTTTTTTTTTTTTCCTTTCCTTATACATGCAAACGTGCAAATAGAGGTAGGTTTAAAAAGCATACCTCTGTGTTTTTCAAAGAAGCAAGGGCATTGAAAGCACGAGAAAGCAGAAAATCCCCTGCCAACAGTGCTAACTGCATCATTAATGAATAAGAACAATCAACCTCAAAATGTCAGAGGAAATTAGAGAACTTCATAAACTTTTCAGAGAAAAAATATAGAAATCATGGAAACATATATTTCAAGTCGAAATATATAAAATGGATACAAAGTTTAATAAATATTGCTATAGAACTTTCATCCCAACGATTCCATGAACCAAGGGAATAAGAAAGTTTAAAACAGACTAACAGAGAACCAGGAATATAATAAAAGAGATTATCAGAAGCAGTAAAATGAAAAGAAGAAAATTTGATTAACAATCAATAACTAACCTTATTTCCCATTACAAAATTTAATGAACCAATACCCCCTCTTTTATTTGCATCATCCACGATACCATCATGAATATGGTTTGCAACCTATGATCGTGAAATGAATATGTTAGTTAAGGAATGGCTCTCAAAAAATTTCCTATTGTGAAAGCAAACACTATTACACTACATTAGGTCCTTAAATAACATTATACTATTTGAGTCAAGAAACATAACTTTATAAGGAACTTACATGTATCATCTCAGTGATCTCAGCCAAGCTATGCTGCCTCTTACAATGTTCAATTGCCAAAGCACATCCACCACCTTGAGGAGGTGATTCAGCCACATGAAAATCCATTGCTGAACCCATTAACAGTAAAACCTGCACAGAATCGGCCATTGTAGATATTGGCTAGATGGTTAGACATAAAGCTAAACATCATCTATAAGCTATACGGTAATAACCATACATTATAAAACATCCAAATCAATCTATGTTGCTTAGATGAGATAAAATTTTCAGATACAAAGGCATCAAGTGAACAGCGAGGGGAAAAAAGGACCATACAAATCCCAATGGTTAGGACTACAAGATAAACAATAATCTAAAACAAGAATTTATGAAGCTAGGTGAGTGATTGGATCTATAAATTTCAACCCCTATTGACTTAGATCTCAACTTTGTTTATACAATTGATAAAAACAGATCAAAGAGAGGCTTTGAAGATTGTAGGAACACAAACAAACTTCCTCAGTTAGGATTCCCCTTTTTTTAGGTTCCTTGGCTAGTTTTCTGGCAATTGTTTTGTGTCCTTGAGGCTAAATCAGAAAGACTACTTGTTGTAAACATATATATTTTTTAAGTATAACAACTTAACTGTGCATGTGAAACTCATGGAAAAGGCAGTGGATGAATGACATTAATTTTAAGGTTTCTTGTCATGGCAAAATTTGAACTCACCATCAAAGAAAAGATAATTGAAGCCTATTATATGATAATCACAGTCATCTAGAAGCTAAGCAAATGTAATTGTTACCTTGGAATGTGTCATCTTTCCTTCCACACCATCTTTGAAGACATATTCAGCAGCTGAGGCAAGCTTCGGGACCTAGATCAGATGGAAATCCTTTCAACTCATTATAGAGAGCCTCATCATTCCATTACAGACCCATAAAATCAATCAAAAATCAAAGGATTAAACAATCAATGCCTCTATGGCCAAAAAGAGGGGGGAAAAATACCTCAGCAACAACCAATGACCGCAGTCTCTGTGCAATCAATGATACTTCATCAGCAACAAGTGAAAATGGATCTAGTTGTTCCTAGAAACCATGAACTCCATATGAGAGTAAGCAAATAGGAAAACATGCATTAGAAAGAGTATGGACAAATAATAAACTTAAGCATCTAGGCTGCAACTTATTAGGAGTCTTTGACATCTCATGACTGAGTAGTACTTGCACCAACACATGGCATGATCATAAAGTAAAAGTCATTTTCAACCGCTACAAAAGTCCGAGTTTTTCAAGGCCATTGGAGTGCCCTCTAGTGTTTATACTTTATAACCCTTTATTCTCTCCTTTTCCATTCATCTCTCAAATGTCAAATCTACCCTTACTGCTCCACGGATCAAAACTTATCATTGGTGGATTATATATTTTTTGGTAGTTATGAAATTCCCCCTTTCCCCCTATGCATGTCATTTTGAAGACTTGAAGCCCAATGGGTAAGGGGGATCTTCCCCATCTAGTGGTCCATTCAATGTGTACATATATCAAAAGATGTCATATGTGGTCCACTCAAATCCATAGCTTTCATCAACCAATTGCACAAACCACTACTTGATAGCACAGAAAATATCACACCTGGGAGATCACTAAATATTTCAAAACTCCCATTTTTATGGAACTGAACGTACAAACAAAAGTCACAAACAAAAAAGAGAAGGAAAGAGAAATGCTGAAACTAACTGACAAACTGCATCCTTCTTACAAAAATCTAAACGATGAAGTAGTGAAGTAGACAGCTTTTGGTTTTACCTTGGTAGCAGAATCTGTAAGAGACTGAGAAGTAGTGTGAAAGAGAAGAGATTGGCATTGAAGGAAGCATGGTGGGTGTGGAAGTAACCAATAATAGCCGGAAAAGCTTGTTCTCAAAATCCCAGAAATCCGGGAAACTCCATTAGGAAATATGAACATCCTTGTTGCCTCTACACTCTACAATGCCGAATTTGGTTAAACAGGAAAAACAATTAATTTGTTTGTGCAATAGACGTTGGAGAGAGGCAGGTGTATCGTCCAATGGCTAAGAGTCCTCCAGAGGACGTGCATTGGTAATGGTTAATAATGAGTTTAGATTGTGGGATTTCGAGGTGAAAGGGGGAAGAGTGAGTGGAGACTATTTTTTTTGGTTTGGTTAACCGTGAATTTAGATTGAGGAATTTTGAGGAAGAAGAGCAGA